GTGGTGAGAATCTCAAAATAGTGTTGGCAGCAAACTGGAATATGCATCATATAAGAATCAGAATTCTTCAGAAAGGAATGATGTGGGTGAAATTAAAAAAAAAAACTAGCAACAACAAACTGTCTTGTATCACAGAAGTACCAAATTCATCACTTCAACATGAATTAGTCATATTACACTTCAAGGGAAGATGAAGCAAAATCCTGTTTTACTGGGCAATCAAAAGCCTTTAGCTACCCAAAGACACACACATTCCTGTTTCCTCAACTAAGCCTTCCCCTGTTATCCTACATACCTAAAACCTGAGGCCCTCTAAATTTAAACAGAACTTATATTCCCATGACAGGTGTCAGCACTTTGCATTTTCTGTTTTCCTTTCACTGTTCCTCACAGGAAGTTTCTTCTTCCCAGGTAGAGTACAGATGGCTGCTTTTACCAACTCTTCATTTCCCATAGAATCTACAATGATGTGAGGAGCCAAGGAACTAACTTGCCAGTCTTGAAAAAGTGTTATCAGGATAAAGGCTCCTTTCGTTGGCATATCCAAGAGACAATATTACTGGGGGCACACGAAATAGTGCTCTTTAGTTAATTTTCTACCAAGAGAATCTTTGCATTTGTGCGTCTCACCTCTACCCTCTGTGATACAGACTGCATGCAGTGTAATGCATAAACAAGACCAAGTCACCAGTCAATGCATCAGCCATAAAGCACTAATGCCCTGACATGCTACAGTAAATCCTAGTTAGTGGGATGTTCGCACACCTCCTCTGTGATAACTTGGTCATGTTTGATGCACCCCTGTCTTTTGGTTCCTTTTTGGAACATCAATTCTTCTGCCATTTCTGGTCAGCGAGATAATTTTCCATTTTGTTTCTTTAATAGACTTATGTTTTTAGAGTTTTTACTTACTTACACACGTATGTATTTATGTATTAGAAAGGCAGAGAGACAATCTTCTATTCGTTGGCTTAACTACCCAAATGCTCATATGCCAGGGTTGGGAGAGACTGAAAGCAAGATCCTGGAATTCCATCTGGGTCTTCCATGGAAACAAAGTACTTCTAACTTCCTCAAGGATATGCATTTGCAGGAAGTTGAGTTTAAAGCAGAAGTGGGACTCAACCCCTGACACTCTGACATGGAGCACATATTAAACAGGATCCCAAGCAGTGACTTAACTGCTGTGTCACAACTCCTGACCCTACATGTTTTTCTCTCTGGATATCAGAACTTTATCTGCTGTTGGCTGAATGGTTCTGTTTTTCCTTTCCATTTTAGATTTCAAAAATCAGTGTGAAATGAGCAAAATGTGAATGGTAGGATTCTCATAGCAGTGACAGAGCTTCCCTTGCCCTATTTCTCTACATTGCAAGGCTGTTGGCCACTTTCATTCTAGAATTTGCAGAGGTTATTCCCCTCTGAAAGCTAAACTCAGTTATAATTTTTCTCTCTCATGGAAAAAGTATGTTGTCACCAATTTTTGGGTGACAATGGAAGATGGCCACGTTGGAGCCCCTAAGTGTACTCTCTGTTGGGCCATGGTGAGAACTCTTCTGTGGGGAGAAAGTCACCCCTCACAGAGAGGCATGGGAACTATTCAAAGCTGAAGACAACTGAAGATTTAATTTCTTGCTTTGAGAAGGCCCCATAGGAAGCACTAGCTTTAAGCAAGATCTTGATGAAAGGATTCCTTCTCTGAATTCTCCAAACAGGCTTCTTTGTTATTGCCTAAGAGGGCTGACAACCACTCGGAATCAAATCTCCCTTATCATTTGCAGACTATTCTGTGAACAGCAGTGAACACCCCATTGGTGGGAGGGGACCAATGATTCTCTCAGGCTTGGCTCAAACCCCCAACCTGCCGTGTCTGAGATGCCCCAGCCCTTTTTTTCTGGCCTTGTGCATTTGATTCCTACACCATGGGGAAGTCCCCCTTGGATTCCAAAAGAAAATTCAACTCCTTGGAATCCAAAACTAATAAACTTTCACAGAGCAGCCCCAGGTGGCTTGGTTATCATGATATTTCGGTCTCACCTAACCAATAAGAGGGCAGGTTGGCAAGTTCCCAGGGTGAATATTCTCATACAAGCATTGGAGTAGGAGAAGCCAAAAGATTTTTCGTCCATCTACATGCTCAATTTACACCCCACCTGGGTTCTGAGGTAGAGATCTTGTGACGGTTGGGGCCCTACAAAGCAATTAAAAGAAATAAAGCAAAGTATTATATTTTAATTGATGTAATCTTGCAGCTCCCAGTGGAATCTGGGGTGACATCTGACTACAGTTACTCCAGGTATCAATAGATGACTATTCTGTGAAAGCACATTTAGGAAGACAAAACCCTATGAATTGCGAACTTCATTACCATGTGTATCCGTTTTGGGGGTGGAGGGTGGCTCAAAGGCTCTTAGGACTAAACATTGAAAGAAGTCACCTAAACTTTCCCCAGATCTGAACAAAGAGCCGAAAGGGGTGGGAGACTTGACGGGAGGTACAGAGAAGGGGGCAGGGCAGGTGGAGGGGGAGACACAAAGTAGGTTTATACTTTTATTTGCTTTTGAAGTTTCATACCTGATTATGAGACACACCAAACCAAAACAGCTTTCACTCATCACTAACATTTCAAAGTTTGTATTTGTTTTATTGTAAATATTCCAGTCGAAGAAAGATCAACAGACAAGAAAAAAAGTGCTTTATACAGTATACACAGTCTGATAGAAAATACAGAATGGAAAGGACAGCTAACAGCCAACAGATAAAAAGTGGAGACAAACCAAGGACTAGAACGAGCTGGTTGCAGATCCACTCACCAGCTTGGGTTCAGTGCAGTGATGGTCACAGCAGCTCAGAGCAATTGTCCGGTGCTGTCAGTCTCATCTTTATTCCGACAATGAAAGAAACAGAGTTTATAAATGATGCATGGGCACATTTGTTTCACTAATCTGTTAAAAAAAAAAAAGCTTGTGATTGATCGAGATCTCCTGCTCATAAAAACAAGGGTTTTTGTTGGTGGTTTTTTTTTCTTTTTTAAGAAAAAGAATACCTTTCCCATGCCAAATGTGATCTGATGGGAAGGACCACATCGTGAGAAGCATGGGATGGAGATGTGGGGTGGAGCATGTGAAATGTTGGGGTCTGCAGGCAGCTCATCTGGTGATATCCTGCCCACCAAATCCACATTCCTCAATGAAGCTTGAAACGTGTTTCTTAAAAAAGACTCAAGTGTCTTCCATGGATTTCTGTTATTTGGTATTTCAGGAGGAAAAAAAAAAAACAGCATTCAAATTGATGAGAAAAAAGAGGTCAGCTTTGGACAAAATGGCATTCTTTATAGGAACCACTGGAGTCCTCTTGGGCCCCCGAGATGGCAGCTGTACCTGCCTGCTATGGCACAAAAGGGATGCTAAACTATCCAAAATACCAAAACATGAAATTATGCATATCATCTTCCAAAGAGGTCTTTATTCCGGTACATTCTGAACAAGAACAACATGAGGACAATTCAGTTGTAGCTGGCGGTAACGGCGCAGGTGGAGGTGATGGCAGCGGCTCTTGATTTCTCTCGCCCTCTGAATTCTCTAAGTTTACAATCAGAAATTGCATAGAATTTGTTTCCCATCAGAAAAGGAAAACTCTCAGAGTGACAGTCCCAACCGGAATAGTCGAGCAGACTTCAGACAGCAGAGCCTCATCCTTCCCAGGGCAGGAGAGGTCCCTGGGCCCTGTGAGTTGCTCAAAAGATCAGCAGTCACCCCACAACGCTGAAAGTATCAGTAGCCCCTAGCCTGTGGACGGAAGAGAAGCTGAAGCCCTTTCCAATGGACACACAAATGGGGCTGCACTCATGCTGAGGTTCTTAGGTCTGGGTGTTGACCAATAGACTGCCTCTGATTCCCAGAAACCTGGTGAAACCTGGACTACCAAGAGTGGTTTCATTTGGTGCACACACACACACATACACACACATTTGCACACTTGCACCTGGGATCCTGTCTAGTGGCAAGAAATCACTTGACCTGGGAGCTTCCCTCCACCCCGTGGGGGTAGGGTAGGTAAGAGAGGGTCTGGCTCCTGGCAGCCTCTGAGCTTGGCTGAATGGAGATGTAGGTGACAAAATATGCAACATGCCACAGGAGCAGCCCATTCCTGCCTCCTCCTTCAGCTAACCATCTCTACTCCATGGATGGCATTCTTCTGCTCTCTTCAGAAATCACAGGGCAGACCACACCCACCCAGGTACAGGTGGCAGAGAGCAAAGACAGATCATTAACCTTTGAAATCCCAGGTGTTTCAAGGGCCCTCTGAGTAAATAGCTTGTGAACTGCTTTGCCCTTCCAGCCTTCATTGCTGCGAGCCACCATGTCAGGGGAGCTGAGCCCCTGAAATCTGCTGCTTTGGCCACTTTGCACCCTAGCATTCCAAGAGGGGGAAGGGGTGCGGGATAAGGAACAGGGATTGTTCAGACTTCCAGGACCTAAACCAGCCTCCCTCCCCCTCCCCTAACCACAGAATAAATGCACAGGACAGGACACAAAGGAGAAAGGAAAGAAAAGGGGGCTAGAAAAGAACATTAACAAAAATATACAAATCCAGAAAAGAGAAACTTCCCTGTTGAGTTTAATTTTTTTTTCTCCTGTAAGAACTAGGCCCAGGGTACAATGGCCCCTTCCTAGGGGGAAAATCGACTGATGATGCCATCAATTCGACGGATGATCTAGGCAGGGCCCCCCCACCCAAGACTCTGTCATGGCGGTGCAAGGGCAAAGCACGCCAGGGAGCAAAGGGGTCCTTGAGCCCGTGAGTTGGGGACAGGGGTGTCCCTCCATCGTCGGGCTCCAAGTTGGCAGATGCAGCCCGCCTCCCGTGGCCAGCTGTCCCTGGCCTGTCTCCTCCCACCTGGGGCCGCAGGTACTGTTGATCTTCCTGTAACGTTGAATGATCCACAGTCCGGTGGGAAGGGTCAGCTACCACTGCGGACGCCGGGCGGACCGAGGCGACGTCTGCCCGCGCTCCAGGGCCTCCACCCGCTGCCTACTCTGGCTCGCTGCTGTTGGTGGTCTTATCCCACTCTAGGCTCTCCTCACTGCGGGCAGGCGATGGCCGCGCGCGCAGGCCCTGGAAGCGGCGGCACTCCGGGCACACGCGGATGTGCGTACAGCCGCGGGCCACCAGGGCGGCCTCCTGCGCCAGTCTCTGTGCCAGCTGGTCCGGCTCCCCCGCCCCGCACAGCTTGCCGTTGCTCAGCGTTGCTGTGCCCCGTGGCCGGTGCTCCTCCGGGGCAGGGGGCCGTGGTGGCGGTATCCCCGTGCGCCGCCGCCTGGGGTGGATACTGTCCTGGCATAGGATGATGCCACGCAGCTCTGTCACCATCTCCTGGCAGACAGACACCTGCAGGAAACAGCGAAGTCACTGCTGGGTCGCAGAACCAGCTTTGCATGCCCCTTCACCCGGGGGTATGGGGGGATCTGTTGGGGTAGGTTCACTTGGCCAAATCGTGCTGGGATGACCCTGTTCCCCCTCCTAACCCCTCCACTCTGTCCCATTTAATGGCCTTACGCCTGTCTGGCTGTGTCATCTCTAAACACCTTCAATGACAAGTGATCTCACTGTCTTGGGCAAGAGCCCACTCCATTTTTGTACACTTCCTTCTCCAGGCTAATGATTCCTCTCCTTGAAGTTTCCAAACATTGATCCCAGCTAAATTTGGAGCTTGAAGCCTACTCGGCAGATAACTCACCTATCATAAGTCAGCCTCTCAAGTGTTTGAAAAAGCTGCCAGGTCTCTCTGAACATTCTGTTCCCAGGCTGAAGAACCCTACTTTTTTCTAACTAGCTGGTGATGATGGCTGGCCATGACGCACTCCAACAATCACGAAAACATGAGCAATGCTAGCCACCCAGGCCCACAGTCTCCCACTCCTAAACACTGGGTTCCACTGTGTGTTTTTCCAAATTCAGAATAAACTTTGGACTTTAGGAAAACAATAATCATAAGCATGTGATGTTTATGGGGCAGCCTCTGGATCCAAACCAGAATATTCCAATCAGTGTCATGGATGTGCCTATACAATGAGTGAAGTAAAGATCATAAACCTGGGTCCAGATCTGTCCCTAAATGCACCTGCCTCCACCTTACAAAATGCTTGGAGCCTACTGGTTTCAGAACATTCAGCAAAGAATCCTGCTAGTCCAGGCTGTTACTAATATTTATAATACCCATTTCACAGATGTGGAAGTGGAGGCTTGCAGTAATCATATCTCTTGTCCAAAACTCTTTGACAAACAGCTCACAATTTTGGATGTAAACCTGTCCAACTCTGATGTCACACAAGCTCCCTGGAGTTGCTGTGAACTGGAAAGGATACTTTCTCAGCTTCTGTTCCCTCTCACAGATCTATTGGGATCTTTGTCTGTTCTACTGCAGCCAAAACCATCATCTTCACCTGAGCTATGGGATCAGGACAGCCTGAGATAACTGTGCAGGGGCAGGAAAGAGGCTGAGCACAGAGGACGAAAGGGTCAGGCACAGTTGGGCTGAGGTTTCTCCCATTTGTGGCCAGGTCCTGTGGACCTGTAGGATGCTGTCTACACTGGCAGCAGGTGCTTCTCTGGGGCCAGTTAGGTTTTAGAGAGATCCAGATATGGGCTACTGAAGTGGTGGAGGCTCAGGTACTTAAAAACAAACAAAGAAAAACACCTCACAGTGCAATGAACTGAGAAAGGCTTCTGCACCTTATCCGTGCTGTGGGATGGAAGAAGAAAGTGATACCATCCATTTTCTTCTTCCCAGACTCCCTGATCTACATGAAGTGGGTAGTAACCAAGCCTATAAACCATAGTTTGGGAATTTATTCCAAATTCCCAGGAAGGAAGATAATTTCTGGATTTCCATGAGTTGGGATATTGCTAAGGCTCTTTCCTTTTAAGGCAAAAACATAAGGCAGAAGGACCAAGATCATCTTTTCCATTTCACCTATTTTTCACTTAATCTTAGCCAAGGGACCAAAAAGTGATCACCTATTTTTCTTGTCTATATGATCTCTCAAAATTGCAGTTCTGTATTGCTTTGCTGGTCACAAGATGTATCATATCAGGGATGTTGCAAAGGAAAGTCTGAAATCCTGAAAAGCTGAAGATCTTTTCTGTGACTACAGAATCTGCAAGTGACGCAGCATTAACAGGTCTCCCATCCCAGGGAACCTGGACCTGCTTGCCTGCCCTGGGATGTGTGCATGCCTTCCCCTTACAATTCAAACATTCCATCTGTAATGACTCTTAGACATGCCTGATCCTGTGCGCTTTATTTCCTGGCCAACACTGCAAGTCACACCCCATTGGAAGCTTACCTCTGTTGCTTCTGAGTGCCTGAGAGTCCATAAAAACTCAAGCATAGCCATAAATATGGCCACGATTAAGCCACAAATAAGAACCACAAAGATTCCACCTATGTTCTCCATTCCCAGGCCTGCAAGAGAGCAATAAAAAGTGGAAAGAAAACTGTGAAAGAGCAAAAAAAAAGATAATTTTCTCTAAAATGCTTAAAGTCACTTAAACAACCAGACCTTTTAGGGATACATTGCTCGATGGGATTTAATCATTCATTTGGGAGAGAAAAAAAAAACCCACAGCACAGTTGGTGTAACTTAGCAGAAGAGGATTTGGTTGCAAATGAAGGAGTCTGGGAAAGCCTAGCAAAGGGTGTCTGGGGAGGGAGGACTCTCGGAAGAGAAGGGCTCAGGTTAAATACAGTGTTGCTTTGAGAGATGCGATACCTGAAAATCCCAGCAGTTCCATGAACATTTTAGTCAATCTTCCTAATAACTGTATTTGCATGATATGAAGTGCAGTGATAAAAGTATGTTTACCTATCTGTGTCAACATGTTATGCAAACACCTGTTTGGGGAAAAAAAAAAAACAAACTCTCCACTAGTCTAGTGATTCCTACAATGATCTACTGTAAGGCTTTTTAAAAATAGCAATGGCAGAGCAGGCATTTGGCCTGGTAGTCAAGATGCCAGTTTGGATGTTCTCACTCCAAATCAGATCCTGCACTATAGACCCCGCTCTGGTTCCTAACACCAACTTCCTGCTAGGTAGATGGACCTTGAGAGTCAGTGATGATGGCTCAAGGGATTGTATTCCTGCCACTCACAAGAGAGACCTTTGGCTACCTTGTTAGACCGGGATATCTTGGAAGTAAACCAGCACACAGGCGTTCTCTCTGTTTCTCTGCCTCTTGAATAAATATTCAAAAAAAAACCAACAAAGAAATAAATTAATGATTCTCATTCCTTATCCAGACCTTTTTATTATCTCTGGAGTTGGGGGTCCATGGAGTTACATATTTTTTTAAAAAAAATATTTCTATTGAAATGGCAGATATACAGAAAAAAAGGAGAGATGGAGAGCAAGCTTTTCTCTCTACTACCCAAATAGCCATAACAATGCCAGGAGCCTCTCTGGGTCTCACACATGGGTGCAAGGTCCCAAAGCTTTGGGCCATCCTCCACTTCTTCCTCAGGCCACAGACAGAAAGTTGGATCAGAGGTGGAGCAGTGGAACACAAGCCATTTGAGAGTTAGCATGTTGAGTCATGGCATCAGCCCCAGCATTTGTTTTCAACAAGGTTCACACAGTCCTTTCTATCCAGGCCTAACATTAGATCGTAAACTGGCACTTTTGTACACATTAAAGTTGCTCAAACTCAGAGATTCTGTTTGCATTCTCATTGCCCAACATGATACCTGGCACAGAGCACACACTCAATAAATATTTGCAGAACAAAATGGTTATTTCATTTTTACAGTGTCAAATGTGGAATTGGTTTAGCTGAATAACTAAAGGCTTGCTTCATGAGCCACTTTAAGGGGAATATCACAAACACTTGAAACTACAGCCAACAGGGGCTGGGATCATAAATCTAAAGGGAAAAAAATGCCAAGGCAGCGGCTTCTGTCCAGCCCCTTTTGGCATGCTTGTACGTTGAAATGCTTTTTCAATGAGTGATGTCATCATGGGACATGGCAGAATGATGACCGTGTCAGGGACAGCCAGCTTTGCACAACACTGCAAGGTAAGCTACACTTCACCAGCAGAGACTGGGCAGCCTCTTCTATACCTTGCAGAGCTGGAGACAGTTCTCCTGGGTCATTTTCAAGATGCTTGGGACTTCCTATCAGAAATCCCCATGCAGATGCCTATTTTTAAAATAATACAGCTCAGTAGCAATCCTGTCTAGCTGAGAATCCTCTGGCAACGGTTTCCAGAACTTCTATCCAGAGTGCATCCAAATCAGGTCTGCAGACCACACGGTCCCCTCCTGAGAGCCTAGGTGGATGCAGCATCCCCTGCTTTGAATGACCAAGAACAGGGGATTGTTATAAACCTTGGCACTACCTTCCAGGACAAAGGAGCTTGAGGTTCTTTGGAAGGCTTACTCTATCCCAACCTAGAACCATTTGTGCAGAAGGCTTTTGCCTGGGGGAGTACAAGGATCTACATGAAGGGGGGATGAAAAGAACAGTTCAAAGGGGATCTGTACAGGTCTAGGGGAGGTGGGATGAGGAGGTAGGGTGTGGATCTGAGTGTGATGGATGAATCAATTTCCCCAGCCAGACCCTGTGGAGAAAGGCTAGATGGAGGGGACCCTCAGAGGGAAGTGACCACAAAGAGGGCCACATTCTCAGGAAAGGGGAGACCCAGAGGGGCGTGAGATCCCCATGGGGATGGCTCTGCCTGAGCCACAAAGCAGGACCCAGGCTGCCCAAAGGAGTTTGTCTTCCCTGCTGTTCCTGCAGGCGGGGCCCTTGCTCTGCTCCAGGGCTCAGTCTGCTTCCCATGTTCTTGCTGTGTTCCTTGCCTCCCTACTTGTCACCACCCTCTCTTCCTCCAAGCCTCCCCACAGGCTCGTAAACATATGCACACTCATGCTTCTCTCTGCACAAAGGAAAAAAAGAAGCCATTTCCCATATCCTCTCCAACCTGTCTCTTTAACACTTCAACTCTCCCCTTCCTGCCATGGAAGAGGAGTCTACATCAGAACTATTTTAGGACAGCCCAAAAAACCTTAAAACATTTATATTTGGAGGCCCCATCTCACAGAAAAGCAAGTAGAAGGAGATGTACCCATATCTTATGTCAAATGCATTTAAAAACGTCTGCTTCTGATATTACCTAGTGGTAAGAAACAGTTAATAGTCGACTGGCCATAATTTTCAGCTGTCATTGTGCATACAAGGAAATGTTTATAGAATGAGAAAAGCTAACCAAAAATTGTTTCTCCATGCAATGAACTTTTTTATGAATATTAAATTTAAAAATTAATGAAGGTGAAACAATGTTACATTTTGGAGATATTTAATTAAACACATCTTAATTTAATTTTGCAGGGTTTTTTTTTTTTCACTTTGAAGTCAGTAATTTTTTTCCGTTCTCAAACATGATTTAAAAGGCTTTGGGTCCTGGATATCATATCTACAGAGAAAGGAGAAAAATATTCAGCTTTGAACTTATGTTTGTTCTTCCTATTCAGTTCTCTGATATTTTGTCTTGCATGGCTAAAACTTCACTCACCAAGGCTATCAATGAACAGTTTCTTTCTTAACCTATTAGAAAACTTTGCAGTCCTATTCTCATGTGACTTCTCTTAAAATTTGGCATCCTCTTCTTCAGCTTTAATTTTTCTTTTCTTTTTATTTTAGAGGCAGAAAGAGAGAAGTAGAGGGAGAAAGTCATCCACTGTTTCACTTCCCAACAATGTCTGGAACTGGGCCAGGCTGAAGTTTGGAACACAATCCTGGTATCCCACATGAGTGACAGAGACGCAATTGCTTGGTTATCACTGCTCTCCTCCAAGGTCTGCTTCAGCGGACTGTGGACATCTTAATGGCTAGGCTCAACTCCTGGTAGCCCTCTAGGTTTTATGCAAAGCCATTGCTCACTGCTCTCTCCCAACCTTCCCAGTGTGCAGTGCCCATAGTGGGGCTTGTCTCAATTCCCTGCCTTTGGTTCTGCCTCACTTGCATGCACTGGCTGTTACCAAATCCTGCTGAGCTTTAAAAATGCTTACCCATCTCTCTATCCCTCTCACCACCTCCCCACTTGGGGTGTTCACCATCTCTTACTCTTATTTTTGTGGCACCCTCCAAAACGACTGGCTGCTCCCCTTCACCTCACCTCTGTACATGGTTGCCTAAGTTATTTTTCTGAGAAGCAGACCCTGATTGGAACCCATCCTCTCATAGCACAGCATGCTTTATAGCCCCTAGAACACATAAGTGTTGCTCCTGACTTGTGTACCTTCATCCTCTTAGCTCCTCAACCTAGAGGAGCTAGGCTCCCTCAACTCTTAGTTGGCTAATCTCAACTGTTTCTTTAAGACTGAATTCAAGCCACTTCTCAAAGTCATCTTCTTCAATCTTGTTCAACTCAGTTATACTGCTTTTATGCTGCACTAATACACTGTGTATGACTCTATTAATTCAAGCAGACATATACATGCCTAAATTCACATATTTAGACTCTTGCTAGGCTGTGAGTTCCTTGAGGAGGATTGTGTGAAGTTCAGTCCCACAACTTCACAATCATGGTACCATGCCCATAGTTAGAGTTCAGTAAATATTTGCTGAAAGAACAAGCACAAAGAAAAGGATAAAGAGAGGCCAGCGGCAGGTTAATTTTCTGCCCAGTGTGCCAGCATCCCATATGGACACTGGTTTGTTTCTAACTGCTCCACTTCCCATCCAGCTCTCTGCTTATGGCCTGAGAAAGCAGCAGAGCGTGGCCCAAGTCCTTGGGATCCTGCAACCACATGGGAGAAGCTTCTGAATTCCAGCTTTGGATCAGCTCAGCTCTGGCAATTGCAGCCAATTGGGAAGTGAACCAGTGGAAGGAAGACCTTCTCTCTACATCTTTGCTTCTCTGTCCGTGAAATATGTCTTTCAAACAAAAATAAATAAATCTTGTTTTGAAAAAAAGAAAGGGGATAAATACATCCCAGATGCAGAGGCCTTCATCACCAAATTCTTTGGGTCTGTACTGTGATATGAATTCATTAAAACTGGAAGACTGTTCGAAATCATAGTACAATGTGACAGCCACTGGTTGAGAAGTCCAGCTCGTCACAGAGCTAGATGGCTCTGTCTGTGCTGAGTGGTGAAACACTAACCCTGGTAGACTCAGCATGCACTGCCTGGGTAGGGTGGGGCAGCCAGGGATGGTTCCACATAGACCCGAGATCTATGCTCAAATCACTTTGATTAGACCTAGGAAAGCTTCCTGGAGGGGCCACAGTTTTCACAGGACACTGGTAGAAACCATGGGTACCAGAACACCCCCCGCTTCTGTGTCCCCTAACGTTTCACTTCTCCAGGCCAGCGTGATCATCTTGCATATGCAGTGTGCTGATTCCCGGCTGAGTGGTCTCCTCCTCCTAGGAGTGAGGCTTGTATACCATTCGTGCCTTG